AAACTGAAGTAGATCCCAGATCTACCCCTCCCCTTTGAAGCAACCTTCTTGATCTTCAAGTTCCTTTCCAAAGTTCCTTCCTCCAAAGCTATTTCTCTGAAATGATGGAAGCTCACACGAAATCTAGGGTTTATAGGTTCTCTAGGATGATATTGAGGCTGAGTGAGGGACATAACACCCTTTAAATAGGATACAACTCCCGGGATTAGGGTTTTCCTCGTTCAGACCAGACTCGTCGAGTCTCCTTAGCCGACTCGCCGAGTCGGTCACTAACTCCTTGACCCGGATCCCGCTCGAACTTGCCGAGTTCCTCCTTGGACTCGACGAGTCGTCCCTTAAACTTTGGGTTTCCTTTCCTTTCTTGGCCTTCCTGACTTTGGGTGTTACAAATTAGATAGGGCACACCAAAAATCTCCAGGACATAACCGTATTAAACCTTGGATGTAGAAACCCTGTGCTCGTTGGCGATAGAAACTCGTAACGGAGACTCTAACTCCCTAAGAGCCATATCAAATCCCCTACTGAACGTCTGAGATACAAAAGATCGACTCGCACCTGAGTCAAAAATCACAAGAACAGGCAAAGAGTTCACTAAGAAGGTACCTAACAGAATCATAAACATGAGCATATCGTAAAATAGCTCGATGGAATATAAATAGAAACATACCCGCAACAACATCCGGCGCCGCCCTGACCTCCTCTGCGGTGAGCTGGAAAGTGTGACCTCGATCCCTCGGTGGCTCCGCCCTACCCTGGCATCCATCCGTGATCCTCAGAGTACTCGGTATTGTGGCATGAGCTGGCCTCACAGTGAGCAAGGGACAGTTGACATTCACATGGTCAACCTGTTCACAGTGATAGCAAACCAGGGTACTTGGTACCGGGGCTTGCTGACGGCAATCATTGGTGTAATGCCCCTCCTTGCCACATTTGTGGCGACCAGATGAAGATCTACAAACACCATCATGAACCTTGCCACATTTTCCACAAGTACGAACCCTCTTTCCTCCAGATCTCGAATCAGCGAGCTTGAACCGCTTTGTCGTAGGCCCCTGTTGATGGCCAATAGTCACTTACGATGTTACCACCATGTCTCACGTTGTGGCCCTCATCGCAAAGGCTAGAAAATTAAGAAATAAGTACCTCCAAGACCCAAGTGTTACACATTTTTTTTTCAAAAAAGACCCAATATTTATTTCACAAAAGACCTAACAATTTGGCATTTTTTCGGTTTAAGCAATATTATTGTTATACAATGTTTGATATGATGTGTTTATGGTTATTATGATGACTATGATGATTTGATGACGAGTTTATGGTGAATATAATGAGTATGGTGTTTTGTATGCTTAGACATGAAAGTTCTATTTCACGAAATTACATGTTAAATGATGTTAAGTTAACTATCTACATGTTGCATCACATGCATGAAATTCATGGGGAGGACTATATATGGTTCAGATACGTTACAAGTTTTTTGAGGTTCACTACTTATGTACTTTTCAAGTAACTAGGCCTGTTTTTATGGTCTGGACGCTTTAGTATGGTTTGGATTTTATCGTGATGTTAGTGATTCTAGATAAGTTTTCTCTAGTAATACGGTACATTAGGGGTAAACCATGTCTATAAACATGCAAACATAGGATGGATGAAGCAAGCCAATGGTACATGAGTGATGAAGTAGATGAATGGCAACAATATGATCTAATTTTTGTTTGTGGATACCATGGATGATGCAACCATATATGTGAGTACTATGATTTATTTCGCGCTTAGGGATGAAACAACCGTAAGAACACACAATGTGCATGGGGAATGAACATCGAAAACATTGTAATTATGTGGACCACACAAAGTCATCTTACCTACAAATCTCATGCATGAGATACAATATGTACACGATTAACTCGGCTAACATCATTTAACATGAAATTTTATAAAACATGTATTTACCATCTACGAATGTAAAACATCATAACCATCATAATCGTCATAAACTCATAGTCAAAGCATTAAGGCATCATAATCATCCTATTAAACATAAAGTCCTCATCAAATCACCAAACCACCGTCAACTACCATGGTACACCACCGTCACCATCTATATCCTACCCACACACTAATTAGATTTCTTCTTTGAAAAATCCAAAAAAACATCTTAAAAAATTTCTTGAAATTGTCCTGAAGCAACATCAATGAAACGAGTTTCCATCCTAAATACAAGTATTTATGATGCTATAAAAGTTAGAAACAGGGCGCAAAAAGGGTTTTAATAATAAAGAATTTTCATTTTTCAAGAATTGTGTTGGTTCACTTTTCTTATTGATATTTCTCTTCCATATACGAGTTAACAAGAAATTCAATTTAGGATAATATGTAGGGACACTTCATGTTTTAGGTGAGTATATTGATTTTAAGATTTCGTGAGAGAATGAAAACTAATAAACTATGAGCATATATACCCATCCATCCGAAATATTGATAAGATCAACCAAATTTGCGGTTTAGAGGTTTGAAAAATGATTATGGAAAAAAATATTTAAACAACTCGAACCGAAACTACCACATGAAACTTGGTTGTCAAGACAGTTTCGGGTGCCAGCTTCGCTAGGGTAGCTTGCATTGCTAGACAGCTTGGTTGTCAAGACAACTTGAGTTGTCCATCGCTATGGACTCTACGTTTGACCCCGTAAGGGAGTGTAGCCCCCTTGGTTCCCATATTTTGCAATTTCCAAGATCAAATATGTTTTATATACAAGTATACTTTATGAATCACGTAAGTTTTATTAGATCATAGTATAAATCTGTATCGTGATGATTTCATGACGGATATTAAAACCAACAACAACAAATATTTGAATTAAACAACTTTTAATAAATGTTGTATGTTTTCCTTCGAATTAAATATATTCTATTTCATATGTTGATTTTGTTAATTATATAAGTTGAGATATTTGAATAACAATAAACAATTTATCACAAATGTATCCATCATGCTTTGGATGTTTCGCAAATAGGTTATGGTGCAATAGAAAATGATAGAAGTGATATGCGACAACCATGGAATGATCTAAAAAAAACTCGAGATTAATTGTCACCGTCTTATTCGTTAGAAATTATAACACATTTCAACCACATCAAATGGACATGTGTAAAGTGTAAACCACCAAATCCTTTCCAAATTTGTTATAATGTTATCTTTAAACAATAACGTTTATATTATCTGAAATCATAAGATTAATTTGCACATTTACGCTATATTTTTTAAATGACAAGACATAGGTCTTTATAAGATATGTCTATTGGTTTTTTTTTTTTTTACATTTATTAATAAGATATTATTACCCCCATTCAAGATTTGTTGGGATGGAGTTGCTTTCATAATCGAGTATAAGAATACAAATCGAACAAGTAATTACCCAAGTCGAGACAAACTAATTCCTATGATTTTACCACCCCAACTGACAAGAAAATTAACGGGAAGGAAAAGAGTTAAAAGAAAACAAAAAAGGAATTTCACATAAATAATCATTCTATTTTGTCATATTTAATAAATTCATCGTATTTTTTATCCACCAGACTACCACAAAAGTAACCATCTAGTTTTTAGTGATCAGTTACGAGATTCTAAAAATAAATCGAAATTACTTCTAAATATATTAAAAAAAAAAAAAATCCTTACAATTTGAAAAAAAAAATGGAAATTGCTCTTACAAATTGTTGAAATAAAGATTTTGCTTATATATTTGAGGATTTTTTTTTTTTTTGTGTGTGTGTGTGTTGAGTAATTATGCAATTTGTATCTCGATTAGTTGCGAAACTGAAAGTCATTTTTGTGATTAACCAAAATAATAACTAGTTTGTTAAATGTTAAATCAAATGGTGATATTAATTTAAATATTCCAAGTAAAATATATTAATAATCATCATAAAACTACAATAATTTTTCTATTCTAATAAAAAAATAGTTTTAATCTTCTTTTGACATGTATCATCTTATTACGCCTTTTAATAAATATATATTTTATTTTACTTTTGACATGTGTCACCTTATTAGTCTTCCTAATTAATGTATGACATTTATCAACATATTAATTCTCAATTTTAAATTTTAAATTTTAAATTTTCCACTCTAATTATATTAAATTAATAACATTACAATAAAATTAAAATTAAATTAATACAAATTATAAGATGATATAATTTATATATTTATTTAAATTGACAATTATAACTTTATATAACTAAAAAATATCTTTTAATTAATAATTTATTTAAAATATTTGATTAATAATTTTGAGTTTTCACTATAAAAGTTTAATTAATTTTGTAACCGTAGTTCCTACGGGTTATAAACTAGTGAATTTAATAAAATTTTGATTGAAAACCAAATCTAAAAGTTACTTTGAAGTTCTGTAAGCTTAAACTAAAAATTTAGGATGATTACTTTAATTTATGACTTAATTAGGTTAATAATGTTATAGAAATATTATCACATGATTAAACTGAGTTTTGAATCTATTACGATCATTAAAAGTCATTGAAAATGGTAATTAAAATGTTGGAATTGAATTAAGCAAAGTAGGTTGCTATTTCTGTTGAAGTGTTACTACCATTAAAAGTCACTTACACTTCCTTGTCAAATGCCAATTTTGAAATGTTAAATGATCTAAGCAAAATCTTTAACCGGTGATCAGAAAATAAAAACACATTCTAATAAAAATACAATATTTGAATTTTTGTGGAACAAAATCAGCTTTCATTAATTTTATAATGATTACTAAAACACACTTAGATAAATATTAAAAAATTACTAATTTACTTTAAAACAACTAGCTCTTAAATCTTGATATCTACTGTTTCTAATACAAACAAATATAAAAAACTGTTTGGGTCATAAATTTAGACACAAAGAAACAACTATATTAAAAAAGAAAATGATACATGGGCCGGCCCATTTGGTTTTGACAAAATTCGGCCCACAAAATCATTTATTTAGCCACGATAACTTAAAATAACTCTCAATCGAAAATCATTAGTTACAACAGCCCACTACCTCTAGATCAATCGACAATAAAACTTTCACGTAATGAATAAAAAATCATGAATTGCTATTGACTTAAACATTAGTCGTCCGAGTTGACTCAGATAGAGAGTAATAAAAGTGACAACGATAGCGATAATATTATTATGTTGGTGTCACAAGAAAAACTCATAATTTATGGTTTCAAAAGTACAAATTATAATCTCTGGTTCAGCAAGAAAAATAATACGTGGCCTAACCTGAGCTTTTTGTTTTCGGAAACAATGATCATGGGAGTATGGTGGCTTCCACCACCGTTTTCTTATCATTCTGTAGATTTGGAAGTGGTGGAACCGGACTTACTTTTTCAGACGGAATTGGTGATGCCGGAGCTTCTTTCTTTGCTGTTGGCGGAGTTGGAGTTAGAGATGGAGTCGGAGTTGGAGTTGGGTCGGGAACTTTTTCATTTTCTTCGGTTTCTGGCTTTGATAACCCAGTTTGCTCCCTGAGTTTCTTGAATTTTTCTAATATCATCTTCTTCATCTCAGTTTTACTCATGCGTGCTTCAGCTGGCTGAGGTGATGATGATAGAGCCACAGCGCTCAGAGTTCCAGCAGTTAAAAACAATGCTAAATCTCTTCGTGACACCTTCGTAGACACTTCTAACTTTTCAACTTCTTTAACCCTAACCTGCTGCATCATTTGGGAATGAATTTATAAAAACAGAAGTAGAATCTGTAAAAAGGAATTGCAATATTCATAGAATATTCAAATGTTTCAAAAGCTAAATCTAACTAAACGTTGACATGATTTTTGAAGTTAATCCGTTTGACATAGAAATGAAACTGAAATCGGCAACAATGCCTCAAGTATCAAGTATCAAGTATCAACTACCGTTTTGCAAACATACACACATAGAACATCGAGATCAACATGGCAATACGAAAACGGAAATTAAGATGAAAACAGAGTTAATTCCATTAAACTGTTAACTGTTTGTAGAGCTGTGTGTTATAACGTATATCAATCAATGTATAGAATATTGAGATATTAATCAGATCACAAGGATTAGGGTTTATGAAGCAGAAAAACCTGAAGAGATAGAGTAGGTGGTTTGACAAAAGCAGCAGCTGGCCCTTTGGCATTAGATCCGACTGATTCCGTCACCGGAGGGAGAGATCCGGCCATCATTTTAACGGTTAACGAAGACATTTAGTTGCCGGAAATCGAAACCGGTAGTTATGATTAGCTGGTTTGACTGGAGTTGGAAGTCGGTAAGAGTGATTTGAATTGGGACTCGGAAAGTCGGATCCAAACAAAAGTTGGAGGTAGGTGTTCTACAGAAGTTCTAATTTGCAATTTGGTCCTTCAGGTTTCACCTTTTGTTATAAATTACCCTACTCCTACTACAAATTTCGATAACTGTATTTGGTCTTCTCATTTATACATCATACCTACCTACATACACATATAAAAGGGAGGTGTACAAATTTCCTACCTTGAAATTCTAAATTACAAATATAAAATATTATAAGTCGATTATACCTCTTAAAAAAATGAGTCAGCTATCATATTATTAAATTATTTTGGAGAGAGGTTGTCATAAGCTCACATATATCAAGTTATCAACAAATATAAAATGCAATTTCAAATATCAAAGACATAGTCTTTGTATGTAACATTGTTTTCAAGACATGTGTTTGGTGATATTCTCACTAAGAATGCAAATTTTAAAATATTTATTTATTTATTTAACAACTTACCACTTTTGTGCATTGACCATTTTTTATCAACCAATGTTTTTCAACTTAATAAATATTTTGAACCAGTCGTATAATGTGTTTAGTTTAGTCAAATTAGTTGTCGAAATCGTTTGAGATGTTGGTAACCATATACGAATGAATATTTTTTTATTAATTAAATCAGCACCTCAATAAACAGATTGCTATGACGAATATTAGCTTAACAAATTTACAAATTGCATTACATTAAAACGATTTCGAACACTAAAATCATCAAACACTAAAGAAAGATAATTTTAAATATATTATACTAAAAAGGATCTTTCTTCTTAACAACTAACTGAATTTTATTTAGTAAAAACTTGCAATAATATTTAAAAAAAAAAAAAAAAAAAAAAAAAAAGACTCCACTATTTAATTAAAATTGGGTGATATGGAGTCATTGGAATTTTGTGGTGTTTACTGATGTGGAATCTGTATCTAAACCGATTATTGATGTCCTTGTTGATAATTTGTTTGATTGGGTTGTGAGTTAGAAATAGGAAAGCTTTGATTAATTGGGTTGATTGTAGGGTTGTTCATTATTTGGATAAAACCGAATTGTCTAATTGGACAATTTAGATTCGACTATTTGGTTCGGATATTTAGGTTTTTGGATTGGATTTCATCAAAACCGAATTATTATTTTGGATTTAGGATTGGTTTGGTTTATGAAATAAGAACCGAATAGACCAAAAAAACCGTATGTCAATCTATTATTTATTTATTTTTAATATATCTATAATTATTTATTAACTTTATAATTTATTTTTTTCAAAAAAAGTTCAAAAAGGTTCACATAATCAACAATTTAATATGCATTTTCTCTCAAAAGTTTTTTTATCTATTAAATATTAAATTATAATATACCTTCGTACTAGTTGTTTATAAATTTTAAATCACAACTAAACAATTTATTTTTGCTTCTTCATTAAAATTTGGATAATATTATAATTATATGTTGTTTTAAATTGTTCAGACTTTTGAGAACCGAATTACAAAAACCGATCCAACCGAATTGTAATTGGATTGGATCACATCGGATTTGAATTTAGTTTTGACAATTCATATCCATATTTTGAAAACCGAAATCAATTTGGATTTACTTAATTGGATCGGATCAAACCGATCCATCCAAACGAACACCTCTAGTTGATTGGTTACAAAACTCGATTTTAAATTCCCCTACGTAATGTTTTGTTAGCTATTATATGATAAGCCATAAAAAATTATATTCGATGGACCAAGAGGAACAATCGAAATAAGATCGACCAATATAGTATATCGCTTTGAATCTTGAATATGGTGATACCCCTAATTGTACTAATCTACATATGTCTATCCCCCTTACTAGTTATAATTTGAGCCATTAGCTTAAGAAAATTTGACAATGCTCATGTATTGTTATGCTATATTTAATCTATGAGTATGCCTATGTACACCTTTCAGGATCATTTATACCTTTCAAGGTTCTGAATAGCTTGAGGTGTGGTATGAGGGCAATATCAATCCTTAAGTTTTACGATAATTATAAGACACAAAATCTGTCATGACATGATTTAAAGAGACATTTTTTTATATAATTTATGATTATGTTATATACATATATAAATATTTTCTACTTTTATTCCATGATATTGAACAACTTGAATAAATCCAACAAAAAAAATATATGATATAATTGTAGATTTATATCAAATATATATACAATGAGATGTGGTGCAACAATGTTCCGTTGAAATCCACTCTCCAAGACTGATCGGTTGGAAGTTCAAAAGGATTGTTTGATAGCCGATAAATAGAGGGATAGACACATGGACCTTGATGACTTATCAAGGTTAAATGCCCAAGCTTCGACTATGCTAATATGCTTTTAATCCCTAACAAAGGAGACAGTTGGGGTGGCAGTTGGAATCCGAAGGTAGTCTTTCAATTGCTTCCTTAAGGAAGGCTATCGGGTATGTAAATAGTGTGGAACTATGGATACTCTCTTTCTCTTAAATGGGTAATAGTCTATCTTCTAGCTTCCATTAGTATGAACTTGTTAAGTCTAAAATCTTAACAAAACAAATGAATTTGCTAATAGAGAGGGCGTAAGGTACCAATATTATAGCATGATTAAGTGGATGTTTGGGATTGCTTTTAAGGATACTTATTAGATTATTAGTTTTCTAAAAAGAAAATAAACCAAAAAAGTGTTTAGGTATTTAAAAATAGCTTTTGAAACAATTTTTTGGAGCTTCTTATATAGACAAAATATAGAGTTTTCTAAAAATTATAAAATCCTAGCTTTTCAGCTTTTAAACTCATTCTTTAAAAACTTAGCTTTAATTTTATCCTAAAAAATTAAACCAAACACTTTCAAAACTAACTTTTCAACTTTTCATATTACAAAAGTTAACCCAAACATTTTTTTAAAAATGTTTTACGGAAAAACCATCACCCAATAAGTATTTTTCCTAAAAACACTTTTGTAATTAAAAAACACACACAACACAACACAACCTAAATATTGTGACCTTGATGTTTTGCCAAACGTAAGAGTAATGTTAGCCCCTCAGGCCTCAACTTAAATACACTACGTAGAATTTTGCTCCCCTACATCAATGTTGCCACACACACGCAAAAAAAAACATTTGGATTATTTTGCCAAATTTGTATTCAAACAGATAAGATACAGAGAATTTTGATTTAAATAAATCACTCAATGTAAAACATGGTATTATGTCATTATTCAGTAAAGGATCAAAATTTTGTATCGAACTATGCCCTGTAAATGGTTTTTTATATTTTACTTTTTACACTACCAAATATTATATTTTATTTTAAAAGTTGCGCAAACATACTTTGTGAAACACCCACCGTTATGGCGTTATCATAATGTACTCCCAAGTCAAGCCAAAAAAAAAAAAAACGACACCTAGAGATCACTTTATAAATATTCATTCAACAAAGCACCACTATTTATCCATTTAATTAGTTTACTTTATCATATAACTATGCAACCATGCGAACCACATTCAAATTTTAAATGGACTTTTATATATACATCTTACCCACTAAATTAATTTCGACCGTAACTTTAAAAAAAAATGAATTTCGCACTCCAGCTTTGATTTTGGTCGTTGGTCGTAAATGAACATGCTCAAGAACATAAAAGAAAAACAAATAGAGCAAAAAAATTCGATATATATATTTACAAAAAAAAGGATAAAGAATATATAATCTCAATTATGATTATAATTTACTACAATTACTTGTGTTCGAAGCAACTTGTAGCCGAAGAGATTAAAGGGAAAAAAACTCAGAAGTTATATATGAGTTCTTGAAAACGAAGAAAAAATCTACATAATTAAAGTTTGTAAAAGAAAATAAAAAAAAGCTTGTACAAACCCTAAAAACGATTATGGACAATAGCTTTGGTATTCTTGAGTAGATACAAACTCGGTTTGCTTGTAAAGATCAATAGAGTTATGACATAGAGATGGACCAGAAGGTGGCACTGGCCCTCGTGGAAGTTTACTCTTCAATAATCCTGCGTACCTGTCAAACCGATGATCTTCTTTCAGTGTCCTTGTTTCACCTGTTCTTAACATTGAAGCCAATAGCGATACTATGATCATTACAATAAGAAAACGCTTTAGATATCTCAAAACCATTCTTCAATTCTCTCTTAGATCTATTCTCTTCTTCTTCTTCTTCTCCTTGTCAATGATATGGATTGAGGCTCTTGGGCATTCCGATATAAATATGTGTTTGTGTCTCTATATATATTTTATAGAAACAGAATGTAGGCGGTGTGGTTGAATCCAAATGCTTTGTGTCTTTATGGATCCAACTATGAGAGTGGTTGACATAAACGATTGTATGTATGTGTGTATATATGCATGTTTCTGTCTCTATATATATGCGTCTGTGTGTGTGTGTGAGAGAGAGAGAGAGAGAGAGAGAGAGAGAGAGAGATATGAATAGGAATAGAATGGTTGAATGAATATGAACGCCGGTCGCATTCGACTCGTGAAAATGTATTGCACCACGACTTTGATTTTTTCTGGTTTGTTTTTAAATTTGACTTTGAAAATGAAGTTAAGATGGTGAATTTAATGATGATGGTTGCAGCCAAATGAGACAAAGAGAATGCGAAGATTTACTCCGTTACACATTCATTTTGCAAATTGAAAATATATATATACTGAGAACTTTGAGTATGGTGGCATCATAAAAAAATTCTAACAAATCTAATATATATATATATAGTAGTCGCATGTTACTATTAGATAATTAGTCTTAATTATATTCAAATATTGATTTTGTATTTATCTTATATTTGTTACTTCTTTATTACAGGAGATTCTTTTGTATTATTTATATAAATACAACTCTCAAGCACATAATTAATATGTGGTTAATTCAATCTTAGTTTATATGGTATCGACCTAGTCTTTCCTCCCTCATTCTTTTCTAAACCCTAATCTTTACCTATCTTATTCTTTTCTTCTTGGGATCTATTCATGGCGATGTCTACAGATACCACTTTCACTATGAACACATTGCTGCATATGATACCGATTAAACTCTCTTCTTCTAATTATTTACTGTGGCAAAATCAGATGTTGCCCTTGTTCTCCTATCAGCAACTCAGCC